CCCGCCTTTTGCATCAGCCTCTGCAGCACCTCAGTAGCTTGCTTGTGCCTCAGCCCTCAGGTCTTTATAGGAGACAAGCTCTCTATCTTCAGGGTCCTCCCTGTGCTGTGCTGAATAGCACAACCCCCACCTAACACAAGGACAACTTTGGGGGTCTCTATACCTGTCTGGGGGTGCTTTTCCCTTGGCCCTCTGCATTTGGGACAAAGCCTTTTGCCCAGTTGTTCTTCCAGGAGCCCAGGGGCGGGCTGGTGCTCTCCTCTTCCCAGGGAGGGGGATGTGGGGGGGGCAGCTGCTCTGTCTCTAGCTGTTAAGCAGCTCTGAGCCCTCTTGGTTTTTTCCCTTCCCCCCTCTTCTCTTTTTTTTTATGGCCCCTTTGCCAGTTGTAGGGAGAAGCCTCTTAATGCAAAGCACCCTGCTCTTTTTCTGTTGGAATGGTGGCTACCTGGCCAGTGCTGGTTGCCCTGCAGAAGTGGGAGCTGCAGAAGCAGCTGCAGCAGGGCTGAGGGGCTCTCAAGCTGCACAGCTAGGCTTGACTCCTATTCTGTAACTGTGAGACCACACAATTCCCTTTAGTTTTCAGAGTCTAGGGGCTTTCCCTGTGAAATGGGAGATGAGAGATTTTCTCTCACCAGCTTGAGGTGAGGATTTAAGGAGATGAGAGTAGCTTAGCCTTCACCAGACACTTTATAAACGCTTGTGGAGTCAGCAGTGGGACCCAGGAGGAGGGTGATGTGTAGCAAGTGTCATAAGACCCCATGCTGCATACACACTGCAATATCTCCTGTCAGAGCCCCCTCTGCTGGCTTAATTGCACAAATCAAGCCTGTCAGAGGCAGCCCTTAGCCTGGGGAGTTAAGGGAAGATGTGGCGGCAGCAGAAATGCCAGGCAGAGCCCATATCTGCATTTACTAGCATTTGCATGGTATATAACAGCATTTGGGAAAAGTGGACAGGCAGAGAGAGATGTTACCTTCTTGTTACTCCCTTAAAGGGCCAGATAAGATAGGGAGGTTTAGGAAGAGAAGCCATAAAGCTCAGGGCATCCCCTTAACTGGGAAACGGCTAACACTCCATTCATTTACACTACCAGACATCGCAGCACACTGACCTCCCGTGTCCCTAGAGTGAGGATAGGGCTAAAGTGATGATGTCAGTTGGCCGGGCGGCCGATCGCTCGGTCTGTCAGTCAGTCGGTCGGTCGATCGGTCGGTCGGTCAGTCGGCTTCCTGTCTTCGTACTACAATCATCTTGAGGAGAAAACAATCAGGGAGTAGTACACCACACAAGGGTGTTAGCAATAGGGACATCAGCCCAGAATTCATTTAGAAAACCTCAAAAATAAGAGTCTCCTGATCTACATTGGGCTGAAGAAGAAACTGAGGCACAAAAGGTCAAGTTCCATAACGTCTCTCAGCTGGTGTGAGGTTGAGCCAGGATGAAACCCAGGGCTTTCCAAGGCTCCCCACCACACCCTGCTGCTGAAGACTGCCTAGCAAGATTGTGCCGAATGCTGGGGGCATGATGTGGGTGGGCAGAAGATGGATTGAACCTCCCAGCACACTTGAGATCTCAGCTCTTTCATGGCCCAATCCTTTTGAAGGGCAGGGTCAAAATTAGGTGTAAGCATCTATAGTTAGAGGCTAATGAAGGTAGTGTTATTAACCTGATGAGAAAAGGATCCCTATTTATCAGTAATCAAATTTAGGGTAGAAAGTGGGGGCATGGGGCTTGTTGGTACAGAGGTGAGTTAGAAAGAACAAAATGTTCTGGGGCTCTGGTGAGCTTTCTGTTGGAAAGTGTCAGCTCTGAGTAGCTGGGGCTTAGGGCTGGGAATAGAGACCTCCTAAGGCAGGGTCCTCATCTCAGGGAAGTGCCCTACATTGAACATTATGGTGGGTGGGGGACCCTAGCACCTCAGACAAAAACCGGGAATCTGAGCCTCCTCTCATCTCAATTTCCCATTTGTAAGAGAAAAATAAAAACCAAGCATCAATCTAAGAGGGTATTCCACTTATGTGTGAGAGAAAGGGGCACCAAGCATCATTCTAAGAGATAATTCCACTCCTGTGTGAGAAAAAAAGGCACCAAGCATCACTCTAAGAGATAATTCCACTGCTGTGTGAGACAAAGAGGCACCAAGCATCATTCTGAGAGATAATTCCACTCCTTTGTGACAGAAAGGGGCTCCCAACATCATCCTAAGAGACAATTCCACTCCTGTGTGAGAAATGGGAACACCTAGCATCATTGTAAGAGATGACCCACTCCTGTGTGAGAGAAGGGGGCACCTAGCATCATTCTAGAGATGACCCACTCCTGTGTGGGAGAAAGGGGTACCTAGCATCATTCTAAGAGACAATTCCACTCCTTTATGAGAGAAGGAGGTACCTAGCATCATTCTAAGACACAATTCCACTCCTGTGTGAGAGAAAGGGGCACCTAGAATCATTTGAAGAGATGACCCACTGCTCTGTGAGAGAAAGGGGTACATTTCTACTCCTATGTGAGACAAAGGGGTACCTAGCATCATTCTAAGAGAAGACCCACTCCTGTGTGGGAGAAAGGGCACCTAGCATCATTTTTGAGACAATTCCATTCCCTTGTGAGAGGAAGAAGCACCTAGTATCATTCTAAGAGACAATTAAACTTGTGTGTCAGAGAAAGGGGTACTTAGCATCATGTTAAGAGACAATT